GTTGTTGCCTGCAGGGAGAGAGGAAGGCTGAGGAAGAGCACTAAGGAGCCTTCCCAGGCAAAAGACATGCATCTGGACTAGCTAATGATGGAACAGGTGAGTGCGGACCTAACCATTGTTTGTTGCTCACTGCATACAGGGGTGACCCTTGTGCAGACCTTTGCCTAGATCAGAAAAGACTCCACACATTGTTTCCAAACGCCTTCTAAGTTTCAACTGGAAATTTAAGAAAATTTTAACAGATCAAGTTGTAGTAACTACATGGGACACACTGTTACAAACTTCCAAGGCTCCCTCCTTATTTGGAACTTGAAAGGAATAGCTCACAGGAGGAATCAATAAAAATAACAGCAGCTAACATTTATAGAAGCTTTACTATCTGCCAAATGTTTTACTTTCATTAACTCATTTAATTCCACGGTGGGGAAAAATCCTATCCATTTAATCCCCATTTTACAGACAAGGATCCAAGGCTAGGTCAAGATCATTGTTCTACGAGAGCTCACATAAATAATGAGAGTAGCTAAAAAGCAAATTCTATGTCAACCTCTTAATTCAATTTCTATTACAGTAACATAAAAATAAAAATCAACACACAGCTTCAAGCAAGGAAACATGAGCAGATTATGTAAGGCAAGTTCATAATGTAAGCAGCATACACAGTTTTTCTCTATTAAAAGCACATCCTTGGCATCCAAGAGTTGAAGCGCCTACTCATATTCCAACACACAAACAGCAGAACAAAATGTTCTACAAACGTGTTTTGTTTGCTTGTTTTTAAGTATCTCTGTCCATCAAAAGATATTACACAGTAACTAAACTATTAATTCAGACAGAAGTCGACTTCGGAGTTTAATCTACTTCTTAGGAGGCATATCCTGGGTGAAAGAGGAAAATAAGTAAACATATTCTCAAAGGCGGCTCTTTATATCCTAAACATGTATTGTGAGAACCCGGTACAGCACTACATGGGAGCGGGAAGAAAAGGACTGCACTATCTACATGATTTTAGTTAGCAATAAAATATACCACAGCAGCCATCAAACGTGCTGCCACATTCTACGCGAGCTGAAAACTGCTCACACTGTGGTTCACGTTCTCAAAAGATGAAAATCAATTAGTGATACCACCCACAAACCCCTTGCCGTCCTCTGTGAAAAGTATACAAGAAGTGAACTGGGTTAGTACTCTGAAATAAAAAATGTTTCCAACTATACAGAGGACAGAGGAAGAGAGAGCAGAAGGAGACACACCAATGCTTCTCCACAAATCTGCTCCAGAAACTGTCCAGAATGTTTTTGGAAATTATGTTTTCATTTACTTGGGGCTGCTGGCAAATCTGCGGAGCAATGGCTCCAAATACTAGAGAGTCAACAGAATTCCGTAAAATGCTAACAGAAAAGAATGACAAAATGAATTTAAATTCTATAAGAAGAAACATAACAAGCTCAGATGGCAACCAAGGTATAAACTAAACTATGCCTATTCAAACAAGCATTTCATTTTTGCACAGGCAATCGACATGCCATAAAAGCCTGACTTTGCTCTCAAATTTTAAGTCATTACACAATATACCGGCCCTTACAGGCAAGAGCACACTGTAATACAATTTCACATTATTTATCCAAAGATCATTCAAAGAAAACTTACCAAGTCTGCAAACGTGTATCTGCTTGTGCTTAGAGAGAAAGCAAAGCAGCTCTCTGTACTTACACTAGGGTTCGCTTCAGTGCTAAAAGTACATCCACCACAGCCCTGCCTGCAATAAAGTCCGCACTAGCAGTCCGCCTTTGGGTTGGGCTTTTCTCTTACAAGATAAGCTGTTAAGTCATGCCTTGATTTTAGAGCTGCTAACATATGGAGCCTTCTAATGCAGCCTGCCCTCCACCCCCTCTCCTCCCCCTCCCCATCACTACTCAGCTCCACTCCCTCTCCACACATACACATACACACATACAAAAAAGGCACTGCAGGGCAGAAATTCCTCAGGTGCTCGCTAATGGAATTCCCAGGGTCTAGGAGCCGCTTCGGGGATCAAGAGATCTCACAGCCCCTGCTGGGGTAAGGAGCGGCGAGTCTGTTCCATTTAATCAAATACAGAATGAATTTTCAGCTCTATTCACTAGCTTGTCTCCAGGGCTCTCAAAAGGCACCAGGCAGCTAGAATCACACACATGTGGCTCTTTTAGGCAAGTATAATTAGTTTGATTTTAAAAAGCCACATTAATAATATCACCTCGGGACCATTATTCAGGGGACAGATGACAATGATACTGTATGTTTTAAGCCTGACAATGGAGGGAAAGTGCACAAACAATGGGGAAAACCTGGAGGATTTTTTTTTTTAAAGAAAAAAAAACACCCGCAGCTTTTCATTTCAGTGTAGCTCAGTATTTTAAAAGTGACATTAAGTATATTCTTGTATACTACCCCTTAATTTTAACAATAAATAAATACAGCCTTCACCTCCTAGGCATAGCCCTTCCGTGCCACCTACACAATAAAAATTTAGCACATGGGAGTGCTTAGATACAATGTAAAAGTGTAAATAAAAACAATGTAACATTTTCTAATTCAATCTAGGTAAGTAAAAATCTCTTGAAAAAAGCGCCAGTCAAAAATAAATAAAACAGTGTGCGGGACACACACACACACGCACACACACACACACACACACACACGGAAAAAAAAAAACTCCTTTAAAGCAGTACAGTTAGCAACCAGACTCCAAATTCCTATTTTAATTAGTTTGTATTAAGATCATTAAGCTAAAGAAAGTCTACCTGTAGGCAATTCATCTACACTTCTAATGTACTGTCCTAGCTATAATTCTACACAGTAGAGATGCTGACCACCTACCTGATGTTAACTGAGAACACACATTAAAACACCAAATTTTCCAATTCATTATCTTTGATAATTTTGATTCCTTCCCTGATTTCACAAAGATGTTTAATTCCTGAAATCGCTTCCCTAGTATTTTAGTTAGAAGCATCCATCAGATTTTAGTCTACGTGTTCACAAGAGAAACATCTCCAGAGAAGAAGAAATCTCCTACTGTCATTAAAAAAGAAACAAAGCGAAACTGTCTGGAGAACCATGAGAGCATGCAGACCAAGAGGAAACACAAGAGGAAAGCGTAAGAACAAGTTATTAAATTTTACCTGACCTTTGAGGAGCACCACCCTATGACACAAGGTCCTATCCCTGGGCACTCCTCTATATATGCCTTGATGATGGGGGAGGGTCCTGTCTTAAAGTGAAGTTAACGCCTTCCACAAAAAAAAAAAAAAAAAAAAAAAAAAAAAAAAAAAAAAAAAAAAAAAAAGTCAAGCCACCTGCAAAACCTGCCAGAAGTAAGGGAGATGCAGGAAGCAGCCTACACAGATTAGCTCAAGGAGTCTATGTCAGGTCCTCAGATTCTTTGTACTTGGGCTCAAAAGTCGCTGCTGTTTAAGTACTTGGCATGGTAGAGGCTGATGAGAACCGCAGCAGTCAATCAAAGCATCCCAAGTGAGTTACTACACAAACAATAGCACAGCACCTCTAGTGACTGATTTTGCTAGGTGATTAAACTATTCAAAGAAAGACTTCCCAAATGCTGTACCCAAGTTTGTGCAAGAAAGTTAAACAATATACATTTGTGTATTTTATAGAAATATAAATGTTTCTCCTTGCCAAACACACACCCCAGGCTCGTCTTTACAAAATGAAACAGGTTTTCTCCACCCTTCTCACTGAGCTTAAAGCACGTAGCAATTTATTTCCACATGTGCGTAACAGAGACTACAGTACTTTGTGCCTCTCTTGAGTTTCTAAGAATTCTTTCGAGTTCAACACTAAACTAAGATTCCCCAGAAAAATTCTAAGGATTTTCTCTTGTCTTATTCTAAAAGTTAAACTATCTGTATTCCACATTTTCATCTATAAGTAGACTGGAAAGGACGAGTTAGAAAAACGTAGCAGAATATGTAGAATCATATTAAAAATAAGGCACCTCTTCTGCAGCCCCCTGCCCACCTCCTCTGGCAGACAGCCCTTGAGCTATGCCAACCGTCCACTGGGAATCCGAGGGGTATGGTATCAGGGAGGCATGGACTCTGAATTCACTCAGCCTCTTTCATCATTCCTGGCATTGGCCGGAGACCAAATCTCACATTACCTTTTAGTCCAACCTCCCGTTTCCCAAGGTGTCTGATTAAGGACACAAAGGCTGGCTTTCTGTTAATGAGGTTCCCTAAATTCGACAGCCCAATTGGGGAGCAGCCTGCCCTTAAAACACCTGCCACCCTCTGTGGTCCCCATGAGGAAAGGCAGGCTTTCTGTGGAAAGTTCCTTTCTCGAGGGCCTTCCACCTGATTTGGTGGGGTTAGGGAGAACAATGAAGCCAAGGGCAAGGGAGTCTAACTATCCCCCCCAGTGATTTATTACTGAAATTCCTAAAAGTGGAGAGAAAGCAACAAAGGTCTGAAGCTGCAGGCTGAAATAAATAGCGATGTATTTAAAGTATTTAGTAAATGATAATGCGAGTCACAGAAAGCTTTACAGAAGAGAAGGAAAAATACACTCCCTGGGGCTGGGAAGTCACTGAGTCTGTGAAGGCAGAGAAAGATACATTGTGCAGGAAATTTCTCTTGCTTTTCCCTACACATAAATCACTGTCTCTCCCCGGCATTCTGCGGGGATGGAGAGGGGAGACAGAGTCGGCTCCCTTGGGAAAAGCGCCCGCGCCCTCGGCTAAGCGGCGTCCCACCTGCCCTGGCAGATCTCGGAAGAAGACCTCAGCATGTCACTGACACCTCACCCCGCCTCCTCCTGCGAGGTGGCTCCAAGCGCCCTAGGATGCGGCGGCAAGCCGGTTGCGGGGCATCCCTCAGCTGCCCTTCCACCCGGACCCCTTGCATCCTGAGGGCAAGCTGGCCTCAGCTTCCCCAGGACCCCCGCTCCCGAGCCCGCGACCCCGGACCACCCTCGGGGACCCTGCAGCAGGACCCCCGCACCTCTCCGCAGGGCTGGCTAAGCCCCCAGACCTCCTGCTCGGCAGCCGGCTCCGAGAGCCACCCGCAGGTCATCCCCCCGCGCGCTGGCGGCGGCGGCGGCGGCGGCGGCTGCGATCCGAACGGGCCCCTCCATGCACCGGGCAGGGCGGCCGGAGGGCGCGGCGCCTCACACGCGGGGCGGGGGCGCTGGGGCGGCGCGAGGTCCCCGTCTCGAACCGAGCCGCGCGAGCCGGGCACCCGGGCTCCGGGAGGGGAGCTGGGGGGCGGAGTCCCGGGGCGCGCCCCCGCGGCCGCGCTCCTCCCCCGCGGAGCGCGCGGACGCCCGGCACCAGAGCCCAGAGAGGAGGGCACCGGCGGAGACGGAGGCGGGCCGTAGAGGCCGGGACTCCCCGGCCCGCGCCCCGCCGCGGGGTGCGCGCGCAGCCTGCCAGATCAGCGGCGGGCAGGGCCGTACCACTCCTCCGGGGGTGGGGGGGACGATCCGCGCGCTGGCTCCCACTCGCCGCCTGTCCGCTGGCTCCGCACCGACACCCCCGCGGGCAAATGCATCTGAAGCCTCGGGTGCAGTAGACCGGGTGAGGAGGGGCTACCTAGGCGAGACAGGGAGGCGCCCGTCGGGTCTGCACTCACTCTCCCCTCACCTTCGCTCGCCCCGGAGAGGCGGCATTTCTGGCCGGTGCACCTCACAGCACGTTCCCGGTTCCCGCCCAGGCCCCGCCCCGCCTGCCTACCTTTTGAGGAGCTACCTAGTATTGCTGTTCCCTGGTGACCCTGTGATTGCTATTCAACCACTTCCCCTTGCCTTTCCACGACTCCTAGGGTTCAGTTCCTTAGGCAGCTTCCTTTGATTCCCCAGCTCACCCGCTCTGCCTTCACTGGGGCTAGTGACACAATTCTGAGAGATCGGGAAAGGCTCAGGGTTGCCTGGTGCAAGCATCTTGGCTTTTGGCCCTACAGTCTTCTCAACTCATCCGCTGGACCTGCCCCCAAATTATTCGAGCTCACTGAACGTTAGTTGTTCAGAGAGAAAAAGAAGGAAAACAAATCCTACTTCGGAGGTGGCTGTGGAAAGCATAATTATGATATTCTGTGAGAAGTACTTGCCACACGTTGGGCATCCTGGGGTTGTAACTTTTTGTGATGATGATGATGATGATGATGATGATGATGATGATGATGATGATGATGATGATGATGATGATGATGATTTTAACCCAAAGCCATTACTATTATTTTAACTTCAAAAAGAGTTTTAATGACAGTGATACTTGTTGGTCACAGCTACTCTATACTGAGCTTCAGAAGAATACAGCTTAGCTTTTTGCTTTAGATGGAGTGCCGTCTTTCTGAATACCTTGGAAAGAAAACCAGTATAAGAAAGAAAAAGAAGAAGAAAGCTTTAAATCTGGCTTTCCTTCCTATGTTCCGTATTTTTTAAGTTATACGGGCAAGATACAGAAAGAAATATTTTTATTCAGCAAAGACACCTTCCTATTGAAAAGATAAGATTTAACTGAAATAAATTTTGTGCACATGGAGTAAAAGTCTGTTGGCATTGTAAAGAACCCTCTATACCCCTAGATACCAACTCCCCACAAACACTTCCAGTGTCTTCTTTGAGGGCTCCGTTGATTCAGGGCACCTCCCACCCCCTAAATCTAACAAATATCACTAGGCCTAATGTTGCTCAGAATGAAACTTGTAGATAAGATTCCTCCTCTGATGACTCTTTGTAAATTGGACAAGTCATTGCAGATGCAAAATGGTTTTTCATTAATGAAGCCGTGTTCATTTGTTCAACGTATAGGTTTAAATTATGGTACTTCATGCCACTAGTAGACACAGGAGTATAGAAAAATATCACATATCTCAAGCTTCAGAGAACTCACAATTGCACCAGGCTTTTGTTTGTTTGTTTGTTTGTTTGTTTGTTTTTAGGGCCACCAACCAGCTCCCAAATCATGACATGAAGACTTACTGGTTTTGAATGCTTTCAGACTTGTTTCTGGCTAACTCTTTAAATTAACCTGTTACTCTTTATCTACCTTTTGCCTCAGGAGGTTTTAGTTTTCTTTCCTTCCATACATCTTACTTCCACTGCTTCTCACGTCTTGCTGATTGGTGACTGCCCAGCTCCTTGCCCCAGGCATGTCCCTCTCCCTCTCATTCTCTCCTCTCATTTTCTCTTGTTCTCCTCTCTCGTTCTCCTCAAACCTAACTTTCTCCTCATACTTATTCTCTGTCTGGAAGCCCCACCCATCCCTCTCCTGCCTAGCTGTTGGCCAGTCATCTTTTTATTCCACCAATCAGGTGCCTTAGGCAGGCAAGGTGAAACAAATACATCTTTACATAATTAAACAGACGCAGCACAAACAAAAGTAACACATCTTTACATCCTTAACAAAAGCAGGAGAAATAAATGTAACACATCTTTACACAATTAATATTCCACAGCATAAACAAATGTAACACATTTTTACATGGCAAAAATAATATTGCACAACACACAATCTCATACACAGCCAAGTACACTGTGACATCATCTTCCATGAAATGAACTGTGACACATAAGGCCAGTAAGGCCAACTCTGTCCAGAGTTTGAGAGTGTAGCTCTTTCTAAAAAAAGATTTCCAAAAAGAAGTGATTCTTGGACCTAGACTTAAAGGAGAGAAGGAATTGGCCGGTTAAAAGTGGTAAAAAGTGGTTAAAAGTACAAAGATGGTCTGGATAGGGAGCACAGTGTTAAGGCAATAAATAAATAGATGAAGGAATGAAGCTCAAAGGAAGTTCAAGCTCTCTTTTGTGGCTAATGTTTAAGGAACAGGCAGGAATTAGCCAATGCAGACTGGGCAGAAAGATGCACAAGCCAGGCCACAGAAACCCATGTGAATTATATGAAGGACACAGGCCTTCCAGGTATCAGGAAATCAGTGCAGGGTTTAGAGAGAGATGTAATATAACTGTATTTAGAACAATCATCTACCATAGATACAAGAATGGGTTTGAGAGATTTTGGAAGCTTCCTGTTGTGGTATGAGTGTACCCCCAAGGTTTTATGTGTTGTAATTTAATCCCTATTCTGAGGCATCAGTATGTGTAACAAGAGGGCCAGCTGTGGGGATTTCTGTTCAGTCCGGTTCCCACAGCCAGCAAGTCCCAAAGAAAATCACACAGAGGTCTCCATAAGATTATAAACTGATTAGTCCATTAGCTCAGACTTCTTATTAGCTCTTATCACTTATATTAACCCATTATTCTTATCTCTGTTAGCCACATGGCTCGGTACCTTTCTCAGCTTCTTCTGGGGTCTGGGCAGGACTGGGAAATGGACTTCCTCCTTCCTAGAATTCTCCTGTTTTCATCACCCTGCCTCTACTTCCTGTCTGGTTGATCTGCCTATACTTCCTGTCTGGCCAATCAGTGTTTATTTAAAATATGATTGACAGAATACAGACAATTCTCCCGCACCACTTCCCCCTCTTTTTTTTCAAACAAAGGAGAATATTCATAGTCCAATTTTTGGGAATGTGGGCATAGTATTCCAGGCTACTTCTAGCTGGTTGGGGGCGCTGATAATCTTATGGGGATCCAAAGAAAATTTAGAATTATTATCAAGTCCTGACTGGAGTATCCAGTGAGTCTTGATCACCTCAGGCAGCAGTCTTGAACCTGTTCTGGATGTAGAACTCTGTCATCTGGGCCATCTGTTCCTACCGGAGACTTCTCAGGTGGTCTTCCTTGATCGAACCTGATTTTTCTTAATTCAGAATGAATCCACAGTCTTTCATTTCCTGTGAAAACAAAAGCAAAATCTCTTCTCCAAAGTAACATACCTTTTGACTTCAATTTTGAAGTCAAGGTTTTTTCAAAATATCTATCTTGAATTAGTTCAGCAGCATTTATAAGCAAATATCTTTTAACAGCTGTTGCTCCTTCCTCAGCATTTAAACAATTCAAAGAGAGCATAATAATATACAGTATCAAGATTCTCTGTGTATTTTTTTCATCTTTATGTGGCTTTACTTTAACCTCTATTTCTTTTATTATTTTTACTTTTTGAGACAGGTTCTCTGTATATCTTTGTCCTGGAATAACTCTGTAAATCAGGCTGTCCTTGAACTCACAGAGAGCCACTTGCCTCTGCTGCCCAAGTGCTGGAATTAAAGGTGTCTGCCACCACACCTTGAATTCACAGAGGTCTGTCTGCCTCAACCTCCCAGACATTGGGATTAAAGATGTGTACTACCACACCCTACTACTCTCTTTCTTTCTTTTTTAATTTTAAGGACTTTAACCTTTAGCCTGCATATATTTTTAAGACACTGTAAACCATTTAGAGGCTTTCGTCATTTCTGAATCTCTCTTTACTGTATAGCTCTCTTTTTCTGACCACATGAGTCTTTATGGAAAGGATTAAAGCCATGGCTTTGACAGCTGAATCCAGCCCATTACTTAGCTTTCCAGCCTCGTGGTGGAAGTACCAGCTGTAGCCATGTTTATTACTGCAACTCTATGGCATTCAAGGTCCCTGCCAGCCATCAAGCTGCAGCAGTGCACTCAGAAACCACACTCAAATACTCCGTAGCCTGCCTGAAAGAGTCAGAGTTTGCCCTGGCAGAAGGGCCCAGAAAGCCGGCATTTTAAAATGGCGCAGCTTTTTTCCTGCTACGGCTGAAAACTGAAAAGCATGTAGTCAGCTTTTCATCAACACCAATTAAGTGTTTCGTGGCGGGACCTCTTAAAGAGCTGCAGGGGTTTTGCAGCTAAAGCTGAGTCAGGAAGCCTCTCTTAGATGAGAGTGCTTGCTTGCCTCTAGCAAGCAGAGCAGACCCGAGAAATTGCTGTTACCAAGAAAACATGCTTTACTCTATTCTTTCCCAAGCTTTCTCAGGCTTTCTGTGAATTCAGTTATCCACATGGGTGCCATTCTGTAACTTGAGGGCCAGGCTGCTTGTTGGGGTTTCTGTCCCACCCAGTCCCCCAGCCATTTAGTCCCAGAGAAAATGACACAGAGGTCTCCATAAGATTATAAACTGATTGGCCCATTAGCTCAGACTTATTAGCTCTTATCACCTATATTAATCCATTATTCTTATCTCTGTTAGCCGTATGGCTCGGTACCTTTCTCAACCAGGTTGCTTCTTCCATGGTCTGGGCAGGACTGGGGAATGGGCTTCCTCCTTTCTAGAATTCTCCTGTTTTCATCTCACTGCCTCTACTTTCTGTCTGGTTGACCCACCTATACTTCCTGCCTGGCCAATCAGCATTTATTTAAAATATGATTGAGAGAATACAGACAATTATCCCACACCAAGAATGAATATTTATTATATATTTGCAAGTGGGGTCTTTGGGGAATGATCAGGATTGGATACCATCCTGATGACTATGGAGGAGGGGAGAGAGAACAGAAATAAAAGTACACTTACCTTCCTGATGTAGGATTTCCCTCTGTATGCTGTTAATATGTTTTATTGCCATTGGTTAATGAAGAAGATGATTTCGGCCAGTGGCTTAACAGAATATAGCCAGGCTGGAAAAGATATATAGAGAGAGTAGGTTGAGTCAAAGAGAAGCCATGTAGCCACCACAGGAGGCAGACACTGGATTCCAGACAGAACCTTACCAGAAGGTCGCAACCACATGGTAACACACAGGTTAATATAAATGGGTTAATTTAAGATGGAAGAACTATCTAGAAATATGCATGAGCTAATAGGCTGAGCAGTGTTGTAAATAATACAGATTCTATGTGACTATTTTGGGCCTAGGCAGGCAGGAAACAAACAAGCAGCCTCCAACGATAGATTGGCATGCTAACGTGGGGCTGACTACATCCATATAAACCTGAGAAAGCTTGGAAAACAATTCTAGACACACAAAAAAAAAAAAAAACAGTTAAGCACGGTTTCTTGATAGGTGGCATTTTTTTTTCCAGATGGGCTTTGTTTGCTGGTGGTGAGCAGGGACACCACAGCTCCTTTAAGAGAGGTCTTACTGATTCAGCATTAGCAGCAAAACAAACAAACCTTGCGACTTCTTTAAGAAATGGCAGTTTCCTAGTTCATGATAGTTATGATAGTTGCAGGAACAGCGATGGCTCTTTCAGGAGGCTGAGCACTTGAATGGGGTTTGTGAGCCCCGATGCTTGTTTGCCCACTTGGGGTTAGGAGGAAAGTAGCTGAGAGCATGCCTGTCACTCAGCACCCTGGCCTGGGAAGGTGGTGGGATCAGGTCTGCTAGGAGTGCACAGGCAGGAGGCATGGCGAATTCCTGCTGCCATAAACAGAGATATTTCCAGACCATGCAGTGAGCTTAATGGCAGATTTAGCTTTTACTCAGGTAAGAAAGATTTATATGCTCATGGTGCTACCCAGAGTTGAGTTGGTAAGGATAGCTCCCACCTGGCAGTCTCAGAGGCAGTGAACAGACCCTCACCATGTTAGACTAGGCAGAGCCAAAAGGCAAATCAGCCTTAGTCCTAACCAAGCCGCTTAGCATTTTTTTAATTTATTCGATTTTGTTTTAAAGAATACCAGTCCAAGTTCCTACTCCCTCCCCTCCTCCCATTCCCTCTATATACCCTCCCATCCCACCCTCTCTAATCCTAAGAGAGGGTAAGTAAGGCACATTTGCCTTGTGGAAGGTCCAAGGCTCTTCTTACTATATCTAGGCTGAACAAGGTACATCCAAAGAGAATAGGATCCCAAAATGCCAGTACATGCAGTAGGAATAAATCCTGGTGCCACTTCCAGTGGCCCCTCAGTCTGCCCCAGCCATGCAACTGTCAACCACATTCAGAGGGACTAGTTTGGTCCTATGCTTTTTCCTTCCCAGTCCAGCTGGAGTTGGTTCACTCCTATTAGCTCAAGTAAACTGTTTCAGTGAAAGAATCTATCATGGTCTTGACCTCCTTGCTCATATTCTTATTCCTTCCACTCTTCAACTGGACTTTGGGAGCTCAGTCCAGTGCTGCAATGGGGGTCTCTGCCTCTGTTTCCATCAGTTGCTGGATGAAGATTCTATGGTGATATTTAAGATAATCATCAGTGAGATTACAGGGCAAGTCAAGATTAGGGCCCCTCTCCTCTATTGCTTAAGGGCTTAGGCAGGGTCATCCTTGTGGAGCTGCCTAGCATTTTTAAGAAGCAGTCCTGTTATGAAAATTATTACAGATACTCAATAAAGACAAATTCAGATGGAAAAGACCTCTAAATGGGTCACAGTTTGGGGTAAATGTACATAGGCTTGAGAGAGAGAGGAAAAAGACTATAGACAGTTATAAAAGAAAGTAAATGGTTTAAAAAATAAAACAAAGTCTATAAAGAGATAGTATAGACAGTCATAGATTAAAGGGGTAAAGAAAAATAAGTCATGTAAAAATGAACAGAGAGTCTGGTTTATGTTTATTTTTTATTTGAATTTTTTGACTGTGAACGAGCTAAGTACAGAGAGACATTTCATTGTATGAGCTGTTAAGCTGAACCAACATGCATACTTTAAAGGCATCTTGACTTCAAAAGTTGGGTCTAAAGATATGTTGTTTTGAAAAAGAGGTTTGCTTCTGTTTCCACAGAAGATGAGAAACTGTGAATTCCTTCAAGAACAATATAGTTTGATGGAAAAAGATCCCTCCAAAAGGTCTCTGTGAACCCCCTAAAATTACTCCACCCAACAAAAAGCAGGAAGCAGTTTGGAGAGAACTATGCCCAAATTCCCAAATATTGTTTATAAATGTTTGTTTACATTTAAAAGGGGGATATGATGTAGAGATGAATACTTTGCATTGATATGGATCTTGGTTTATTGATACAAATTTAAGGTCAATTTTGTTTTATGTATATTTTTGCTCTTGATTAAGATATTGTGTTTGTGCAGCTCATTTAAAAATGTAACGTATAATTAAGAAATACAAGTTAATAGATATCAATTATAATAGTCAAGCTTGTAGTCATGTTAGTTACGTTTTCTAGATGTACAGAGATATATTTCAGATAGATAGCCGTTCTTCAAACCTGTCAAAGACTAACAGAATATGGCATTAAAAATGTGTTAGGAATTTAGGACTTTTCATGACAATGAGACATCTGCTTCTGGCAGCATCAATGTACTTCAAGAGGAAGATGAGCATCAGAGAGATTCCTTATAGAATTTACTAGCCATTTGTAAAGTAAAGCTCTTGCTTGGAGTGCTTGGTGTTATGCTCTATGAACTGGACATGCAGGACCCACAGAAAAATGACTGATGAACTTGCCTAAAGGTGAGATGGGATGAGATGGTCCTTTGGGGTTCCTGCTTCATAAAAGAATCTGTCAGGCATTCTGCAGGACACAGAAGAAAGTGACTGACAAATTGCCAATATAGGTAAAACTGTCTTGAAATTTCCTGCTTCATGGAAAAGCCTACCAGATGCTATTGGCCTATGGGCTGAAGATGAATGCCCCAATGTTACAGAAGAACTTTGGGTGACTGTCCAGGCAGCAAGATGTGTCTGTCAATTCTAGAGTTTTAGAAGTTGCTTACAATGCATTTCCTGTTAACTTAGGTAATATTATATCCTTCTGGAGTCTTTAATGGAGTTGAATAATAGATAGTTATAGTTTTTCTTAGTTATAATAAAAGATAATATGGATATAAATATTGTAACTGTAATTCTTGCTTGTTTTGCATATGTAATTTTACTATGTTAAAGTTAAACCCTCCCTTTTTAATTAGACAAAAAAGGGGAGGTGATGTGGCATTCCCCTCTGTATGCTGTTAATATGTTTTATTGCCATTGGTTAATAAAGAAGATGCTTTCTGCCAATGGCTTAACAGAATATAGCCAGACTGGAAAAGATATATAGAGTAGACTGAGTCAAAGAGAAGCCATGAAGATGCCGAATGGAAACTTATGGGTAGGCAACAACCATTTGGTGATATGCAGATTAATGGAAATAGGTTAATTTAAGATGTAAGAGCCAGCTAGAAATATGCATAAACTAATAGGCCAAACAGTGTTGTAAATAATACAGTGAAGATCATAATAATAATGGGAAATTGAGGTGAAACTCAAAAAGCCCTTAATATAGAATTTAGCCAATAAAATCTAGACATACCAGTAGCATCCTCAAAAACTAGATATATTCATTATGATACTCATATACTTGGTAGGTGGCAAGTATTAGCTTAAATTTTAGTGCCACATAAGATTGGAAAACAAGCACCAAAATGTGAGGTCCCTTAAGTAGATCTCACAGTTAATCAGTGTCAGAGCTGGTATGCAGATCTAGGAAATCAGGGACTGGAGACTGGCCTCCTACCAAAGAATGTTTTTGCAATCAATTCAACTGAATTGCTTTATTAAAAAATTTTATTGTCTATAAAAAAAATGCTCAACATCGTTAGCCATTAGGGATCTACAAATCCAAGCTGCATTGAAATTCCATCTCATCCCAGTAAGAACAACAATTGTCAAGCAAACAGATGAGAGCAAATGTCATTGAGGAGCAGAGGGGGAAGAAGCCTTACACACTGCTGTAGAAATGCAGCCAAAGTGGAAGGGTGTGTGGAAGGTCCTCCAAAGAGTAAAAACAGAACTGACACACGGTCCAGCCGTAGCACTATCGGGAGCATACTTACAGCCACCTAACCCCACAGCAGAGAAAACTGCATACTAGTGAATATGCGCTGTTCACAATAGCGGTAGACCAGATGGATGAATAAACAATGCCTCCCCTATTTTATACACAGACACACAAATGCTGTTTTATGCAACCATAAAAAGAAATACTGTCTCACTTTCACGAAAATGCACTGAAACTGGAGGCCATTGTATGAAGCAAAACAAGCCACACTCAGAAATATAAATATTGCAGATTTTCCTCTCGTAGGCATTATCAAGTTCATCATCAAGAGAACTTGGGGCAGGAACTCAAGACAGGAACCCGGAAGCAGGAGCTGAGGCAGAGACCATGGTGGAAGGATGCTTCCTGGCTTGCCCTCTGTGGCTTGTTCAGGCTGCTTTCTAATGTACCCCAGGACTACCTGTCCAGGGGAGGTACCACCCACAGTGGGCTGGACCTTCCACATCAGTCATTAACCAAGAAAATGTCTCATGGACTTGCCTACAGGTCAGACTGATGGATGTGCTGCTTCAGCGGAAGTTTCCGCTTCTCAGGAACCTCAACTAGTTCGTGTCAAACTGGAAAACAAACAAACAAACAAACAAAAACTAACCAGCACGGAGGATGAGTATGGTCAAAGTCTGTGGTATGTAATATAAAAACATCAGAATGAAACAATGAATTTTATACAATAAATAGACATGTAATAAAAAAATAAATACAATTTGTGGGACTCCCTTTAGGTGTAAAGGGGGGTAGAAGAGAATGTTTTTTTATTAAACTTGCCTTAGGGGACAAGACTTGCGAGCTTTCGCGGTAGCCTGACCTGTCTGGGACTCTCAGCTGCTTTAGGCACCGCCTTTCCTTCCCCTTTATTTTCAGACAGGGTCCCACTGTGTAGCCCTGGTCAGCTGGCCTGGAACTCACG